GTCCAGACGATGCAAAGGTAAAAACACCAGTGCTGTCTGCACCGATGCTCTGATGAAGAACTAAAGCTATCAATGGCAGAAGCTGCATTTCCACAGTTTGCTTAAATTTCGGAAGATCTTAAGCTTTGTATGAAGTTGAAGAGTTTGCTTTTGTTTCCGAGGTACCTGTCACCTGATATTTAAACGATAAGCAGGTATTAATTCTCAGAAGAACAAAGGACTTAGTAAAAGGTCTTATCCAAGTGGCTTTAGTTCTTGGGATCCCTTTGGTCCTGCTGTGTAAGGCCATTTAATCTAAAATCTAAGAGGGAGCGAGTGATCAAATAGCTTGCTAACGAGTATTGTCAGTTGTCTGCACAGTGAATTTGCTTATAATTTTGAATTGTTTATTGCGGTAAGAATTAGCTGATTGTAGTAAATAACTAGCATTTGTATATTTTCATGTATATCAGACTGTCTTACAAATAGGTACTTCTTGACATTCAAGGGAGGTAAGTGAAGTCATTCCCTTTTTGCATAGGGAAAACTGAAGCAGAGCAGTTTGGCTGTTGTACTGATAACCACATCGGTGTACCTATCGAGCATGAAGTATTTCTTCTGATTTTGTTGCTTTCTGATAATTGCACAATAAAACAATTCTACCTAGTCTGTTAAAATATCACTTCTCACAGCACTGTTTCCAACAGTACTTCTTAATTAACATTCATACATCAGTCTTTACTGTCTCATCCTTATTTCAGGGAAGCTCTTACATATTCTTGTGTTGCTCGGTAGCCATGGTGTTTTGATACTAATTTAGGTGAAATCAGGAAAAACAAGTAATCTGTGAAAAAAATAAAATGAACCATGTAGGTTTATGATTAAAAAAAAAATAGAATGGTGATGCATTCTTAATTTTTAAAAAACAGATTATAATTGAAGTAGCTTTTATAGTTCAGTGCTCTCTACAGAAGCTTTTCAGATTTCATTTTTGTACTAGCAAGAAATGCCGTACTGTAAATTATACAGAACTGTTGATCTTGTTCCTGAAATGTTTCCTTAACTTTGACTAAGATTGCTTCTATTAAATCACTTCCCTTGCAGACTGTTTGCAGGAATTCAAGGGAATAACTGCATTGTCTTCTGCAGCTTAATATTGTACAAGGTTCTACTCTTTTTCTCTAAAGGAACATGATGATTTCTGGTAATTCAATTTTTGTTACTAGTTGAGAAAGAAAATATAATCTACTTCATGGCAACGGGGGTGTTTAAACTGCCCCAGCTCTCCAGTATTGTTTGCACACATCATTTGAGACCCGCTGCCTTTTTACAGAGCAGAAAATAGCTTCCGGTAAAACCTTTTGTTGATGTATTTAAATGTTACAACATAACGAATTCAAATATAATGAAAGTTGAAACCAGTGAGGCTGTTTGCTGCATGCAGAGCTGGATATAGTGTGCCTAGACAGGTTTGTGTGTTTTCCATCAGGATTCTTAAACTTCTTTACAAACCTGAAGAGCATCTCTTCTGTCCAATAATCCATGCCTATGCAGAATTTTCTGTGTTTGATAATACCACAAATTGCTGTTGAGCAAAAAGCAGTATTTTCTTAATATCAAGGGTATTTACGCTGTGAAAGGTGTACAGGGAAGATCTTTTGTGGTAAACGGAAGACAGACCTACAGTGCAGGATCACCCGGGCTGTCATCTCAGCTCTTGTCTCTGAGCACTCCTGTCTTTGTAGTTTGTTTTAATCTGTGTGCATTTTGAAGGTGGGAATACACAGGTAGAGAATGGTAGTTGTTGATTGCCTGTTTCACGTAGAACTGGAGGATATGAATCAGGACACAGAAGACTAGAGATGTAGGAACTGCAAGTTTAATTTCCTTAACGTTAAGATGCTAGCTAGGCGGTTTCGCTTATGTCTGTTGACCAGTTCATGCATGGTGAAAATCATAGTGACCTTGCAGCCTCACTTTATCTCTGTCTACTTCGTAGGTTACTTGAATCATTTATAAATTAAGTCGTAAAAGAAGCTACATCTTGTGGCTTTTTTGTTGGCTTTTTTTCCCTTTCTTTTTTTCTTCCTATCCTCTCTTACAGTGTGTGCGGTATTCTGTGATACCTGAGCTCCTGGCATTTGTTTGCAAACATTTCAGTTGTTTGTTATTGATCCGTCTCCAATTCCTGAGTTGATTTGGCAAAGACCGTTCCTTAATTGTATTATTTACCTGGCTACCATTCTTGCCTTTCACTGCTCTGACTTTTGTATGTTGTCACCTTTTCATTTACGAAATTGCCCTATTCTGTTATTCCAAACAGACATGGAAATAGCATGGATGTCTTTTTTCAAAATACAGAATAACAGTTTTCAGAGTTTTAGAACCTTCTTATGCCGGAACTTTGAACTTAATTTTAATTCTATTAATTACTTTAACCAAATTTGGCAAAAGAAGGAAAAACTGGGATTATTTTTTTCCCCACAATGCATTGATATGTCTTTAAGTTGGTGTTTTAGAAAGTGTCTTGTATTGCTCTTTTTAACACTATCAGTTTTATTTTATTTTCAAGCAGATATATTTGCATACTTGTCTCATTGGTGCATAAAAGATTGTTTCTATTCAAGGAGCCTATACAAAGTCTCATTGTACAGAATATTAGCCAGAAATACAGGGTTCAGGCATCTTATTTGTATAAATAAAAACCCCAATCTGCCTTCATTTTGTCCATCTCTTTGCTCCTTTCTTTCTGAATTGCTGTTCCTCTGTGCTAACGTACCAAATGGAGGAACATGTCTGTGGTCACTGTGGTGTTTGGTGTTAGTAATCTACAGATTGCAGCTCCTTAAATGACATAGTAGATAATAACAACTTTAAAGGAGGAGTAATGGATTCAGTTGATAATCTATGGATTAAATTCTCTCTCATTTTAATTGTGATGTCTGATTCCACAGTACTAACAGAATGAAGAGAGGAATACTACCACAGGCTCAGTGTAAGTCACAGTAATTGTGCACTCCATTAATCTTATTTTCTTGATGCGTTTGTCTCCCTCCAGTCTGCTGCTTTCACTTCATTTTGTAGCTTATGAGGCTCAGACAGCCTGAACTTTTTTAAGCTCTTCAGAGCGTGGCCAACTTGACCAAGTTTTGTGTTGATCTGTTACCTTACTTCCTGTCTTATTCACCATTAAGTCTTTGAATTTACATGCCAGCATTTCCAAACTCTCCTCTTTCTGTGCCAGTTGTGCTCTCTTGCCTTGTTTGCAAGTCTCCTCATTCTTTGATTTTTCAGAAAACCAGGGTTTTGGAGCAGTCGTGTGTAGGTTAGGCATTTCCTATTGTGATCCGTACTCTTCTCTGACAGGAGTGCTTGGGGAGTTAGAACCAAAACTAAGATAATGCTAGCATGTTGCTCTCAATTCTGTCCACATGTAGCTTGGCTTGATTGTAGGTGCCTGTGTCCTGTTGCATGTTGAATTGATTAGCCCAGAACTCTCTTTGACTCTGTGCTGCCAAGCCAGATGGTGGCTTTTGTTTTTACTGTGTTGGCGTATTTTCCTTTTCTCTTTCCTTTTTGCATGAATCAGCAAGCACAAAAAAATGAGGTTTCCACCAGCTACATGTTTTCTTGCATTTACATCCTTCTTTCTGTGATGCTGAGGAACATGTCCTGTGAAAATTTTGAAATTTGCTGTGCTGGGAAAATTTAGCCAGGTCTATGCATGACTTTGTAATGGTTTGACTAAAGGTGTGACCGTGAACTGCTGCAGTTAGGTGTGCATGTGCACACATTGCTTCAGACAGCTTTTATGTGTCTGTGGCGAGGTTGCATTGATTTAACTCATTTAAGTTAGCATCACACCTTGTGTGTGTGTGTCTCTAAGCAGTTTGTAAATACTTTAAATAGGTACTAAATCTTTTTTTCTCATTTTCACATGCTTTTTCTCCTGAAGTACACAGTGTTGAGAGTGTTTGGGTGGTGTTAATTAGAAAACTTGTCTTAAACCTTTTCCCATCAGTAAGCGTGGATTTATTGTGGATTTTTTAATGCATTTTTTAATGCATATTGATTTTGGTTGATGGCATTTCTCAGTGACTGCTTCAAAAGAATAAACTAGTTAAGCAAATATTCAAATGAGATCATTGCCAATGATGCATAATATATTTACTTACCTTTGTAGCGTTGTCACAAATTAACACCCCCTCCAAATCTAGATGTAGTGCAGTTACATGTTTTCTATCATTTACATTAGAATATACAGTAGTGTGATAACTTTCTCATGATTTTTACAGCAATAAGTGGCAAAAGGTATGCTTCATTAAAATCTTTTTTATTGTGTAAAAACCAGTTTACCTAAAATCTCTTGCTTGTTAGCATTTTTTTTTTCTTCCTTGATGTGTTTACTCAAGGCTATAGATACTCTCTTACCTATGGGAAAGGCATGCTCCAGTGCTTAGGGGAAGGAAATCTCCTTACATTAGGAGATCTTAGATTTTGTTCCTGTATCTGCCACTGGCTTGGAGAGGCTTTGGACAGATGATTTAATTTTGCTCTATACATGTGTTCCCATTGATGAAATAAAGATATTTCTTCAAATATCAGAAGACTACTCTGATTGCTTGGGAAGTGCTTTTAAGTTATTTAATAAGAAATTGCTATTAACTGAAAAGTGTGTCATGGAGAAAAGCTTCTAGAACAATATTGTAGTTCTTGATTTCTGCCAGAGTAAAGGGAGGAGAAATTTCATTTACTTGACTGAGTGACTTTATCTTCCTTTTCATAGATTGAACAGCGGAGTCTTTATCTCATTTACAGAAGTGGGATACAGTGGTTCTGTTTTGTGGATGAGAGAACAAGTTTCATGTTGATTTCTATTCTTTTTTGTCAAATTGTTTGCCTTAAAGAACAGTCAAAGCAAAGAAGATGTGGTATCTTCATATTCTCTTTTGGTTTTGTTTTTTGGAATGGCAGACCCCTATTAGAAACTGGAACGTAAAGAAGAGTTGCTTGGGTGAACGATGCTCAGAGATACTATGAAGTCCTGGAGTGACAGCCAGTCAGACCTCTACAGCAGTGACCAAGAAGAGGAAGAACAGATGATTTTTGGAGAAAATGAAGATGATTTGGAAGAGATGATGGATTTAAGTGACTTGCCTACCTCACTCTTTGCTTGCAGTGTTCATGAAGCGGTGTTTGAGGTACAGGAAGAAAAGGTAAGGTGGAGAGAGATATATTTGGGGCATAGTATTGTAAGTATAGATACAGCTATTGAACAGTTTTGTCTGAATTTTCAGTGTGTTACTGCATATTATAATTGGAGGGAAAAAAACAACCTGGTGAGCTCAGATCAGAATGAGTACAGTTACCAAAGAGCAGATAATACTACACTTTTCTGGCATTTGACATTGTTAGTAGGTACAGAGTGCTTCTCCCATGAAAAGCTATTCCGATTTTTTTTCTTTTTTGTCTTTATCCAATGTACCACATCCAAGGGCAGATTTAAATAAAATCTGAAAGCAGATTTAAATGTTTTATTTCAAGGCAAGAATTCTGTTAAAAGAGCATTATAAATTTGCAGGATGTATGTTCCGACTTGAACACCTTGAAAGTGGCTTATAAAGACCTTACAATAATCTAAATCTTCTCTGGCCTGCTAACATTTATATTCAGTCAAATCTGTACTTTCCCTTTGCTTCCAAGAGCATCAGGGAAAATTATGTACATTACATGAGTGAGGGAAGATAGGAGGGGCTTATATGAAAGTTTTGGTCTGCAACTTCTTCAGTTTCAGTTTACAAAAGTACCGATGAAGCCTACAGTTTTGCTGAAAGTTTTCAACATCTGAGGGAAAGGTGTGGTGTCAGATAGGAAATGCTGCTCTCTGCCTCAGAGGTGCTAAATAGTGTACTTAAATATAAGTCAATCTTTCAAATATTTGCTGTGAGCTGAATTCCTAAGCCAGTGCTCCTAACAAATGGACATAGTACATTCAAAATAAAAGGAACAGTGATCAGTTGAGAACATGCACATGGTGTCACATAAACAGTTTGTAAAGCAGCTTACAGATCCCCTTTTGGGTAGGGAGGAGGATATTACATAATGAGAGCTGCTGTTCTTATAGTTTGTTGTAATTGTATTCCTATGGGTACGAAACACAGATGCCAGAAAAGGCTGTTGAGTCTTCAGTGGCTTATTTTCAGATGCAATGCTTTATTTTTTCTTTCCCGTGTTTTATAGAGAGAATGAGATATAGTGCACTAGCCATTATTTACATGCCTGGTGTCAAATACTTTTTTTCAAAGAGTGTTTTTGCTAGCCTATGTATGTCAGTAGAAGGGTTAATTTCTAGCCTTGTATATTAATGCTGTTTTTACTGGAAGACAAAATGGGCAGTGCATAAGAGTATGTAAATCATATGTCATCTAATTAAAAAAAAAAGCAAGATGACATCTCCTTTTCTAGATAAATTTTTAACTCACCGATGACTAGTTTAAATTGTTACTGCTTCTACTAGATCAGCTTCTAGTTCAAAAGACTTGTAAGTGGGCAGCAGTCCATTTGTTTCAGTGGTTACTGCCCTTGGAAGAAGGTAGTAAAGCATCAGTTAATCAATGGAACATTAAATAATGCACTGGACTAGTTTAACGCTCATGCTACAGGAATAGCAGTGCCCCATAATTCATTGTGTGTCCAGTATAGAAAGTGTGCACTGGAAATGTTGCCTTGCTAAATTGTTTTGCATGTGTCTACATGGGATCTGTCATTTTAATGCACATTTGCTTTTTTCCGTGAAAGTATTCCCACAGTGTGTCTGTGCATACAAGGTGTATCAAGGGAGATGTGCTAGCTTTTTCTCTAATGATACTGGGATAATTAGGTGCCACATTAAACCACTTGTAAATTTAATCACAAATTTAAAAGTTTTCACTTCAAATGTAGTTTTTAAAGTGTACTGATTGTACTATCAGCAAGCTAATCTAAGCTGATTGTCATAGCCAAGACATTAGTTTAGAATAGGTCAGAATTATACATTATATCTATAAATCGAAAGCTTACTATGCAGACTTTTTCCTAGTGCTTGAAAGAATAGAGGTGCTTTGACATATTATACGGCTTTCATCTGTTTTATGAAATTCAGCTTAGTCAGCCCCTGCACACACGTTTCAGTGGCTTGATTTACTTCTACCTACATCTTGTTTTAAAGGCTGAATGCACAGCAAACAGTTCATGAAACAAATGGAAATTGTGCTGTCTGTGCACAAACAGAAAGCAATTTGAAAATTTGTGGTGGTTTTAGGGGTTATTTTTTTAGGGGGTGGCGTGTTTTTTCTGGTGGCACTTACAGTTTTGCTACCCAATGTTCTTTTAGTTCATTTGCTAACGCTAGGAAAGCTCGCAGCACTTGAGAGCAGACTATCAAAATCAGTCTTCCTCTTCCCTGATTTTGTAGTAGTCACATCTGTAAAAAATAGATTGCCTGGTTCTGTATGTAGGCATAAATATTTTATGCTATGCATTTTCATTTGTGAAACTTCACATAAGTAAGTGATGATTAATATTCTGGTGAGGAGAAAAGGCTAAAAAGACACTATTGATTTGAAATCTATATATTTAATTCTTATGAAGCATTTTGCTCAGGTTCTGGTTTTGCCCTAGTTCTTTCATCCATTTGTTTGAAATTTTCTAGCTATATTTCTGGTTTTACTGTTGATTTGTTAAAACAACATTTAAACATTAACAGGTCCTGTTCAATTGACTGTTGTTGAATTTAGTGCCATCAGTTTCCACTTTTGTTTAAGTGTTGTAGGTTAAATACATGGTATGTTTACAGAAAAACTGTAAGATGTCTAAGTTGGCATACATTTTTAAATAATTTTTTCTTGTACATAGCATCTAAAAGTGTTTTTTCAAGTTTAGTTCAAACAGCAGAAGTTGAAAAATTCAGAGTAAAAGTATTTATTGTTTCTTTCTCAAATACCTTTTTGAGGGTAACATCATGATTGGAACACTGTCTTCATTATTTTCAGTTGCAGGTTTGATCCACTAGATTGCAGTTTTGTGTTTGTCAAGTACAAAATTTGGCCAGTGTGCAGAAGGAACAGGTTTTCTGATTTAATAAAGACCTTGACGTTGTACAGATTGGAGAGAATTGTGCAGTAAAATCATATTTTTGTTAAAACTAACACGGGCATCATCTGAAGAATTTCTTCAGCCCTATTTAAAATGAAAGCACCTCATCCTGTAATTATTTTTAGAGGAATGAAGGCATCAACAGGATTTTTGTAAAGAGATTGGTGTCTATCGGAATCAAGCAAATTAACTATTGTCATTGGGAAGAGTTCTTAATGAAAAAATATTACTTTTATTTGCTTATGTAGATCTCTGAATAACGGAGTATTATCAGAACATAATAAATAAATTGAAAAGAGATTGTTTGCATACTTCTCATCTGTTGGTTTTAATCTGACTTTTTACAGTGAATGAAATTTTTTTTTTCCCTAGTGTATTTAAGCTAGGGAAAAAAAAAAAGAAATATCTGCAAATTAGGTCTGTTGTAGATCACAGAACTAGTAAATTAAAACAGATTGAGTTTCACAACAATGCAGTTATTATTTCTTAAAGAACTTGATTATAAGATTCCATAGTCAATAAAACATGATTTTTTTCAATTTTTTATTTTTGTGAACAAGTGTTGTTTAGTAATAATAGATTTTTGTCTCTTCCAAAGTAGTCTTATTAATTCATCCTGAGAATTTTGAGATTTTCCTTAAGCATTCAGTACTTTAGTTTATCTAATATAAAAATTAACTGATTTGCATAGTACTTCTGGAGACGCTTGGGTGAAAGTCATGTGCAAGTACCAGTATTTTTGTTGACATCGGCACCTTTGAGTAACTGTCGCTAGGTGGCAGTTTGTGTATTAAGAGTTTGAGAGGCTCGTTCACATCAATTCGCTCTTGGAATTCCAGTTTAAATAGTGAGACAAAGCAGTGCTACACTGAATGCGGATTTGCAAGTGGGGGTAACTGAGGGAAGTATGGAGTGTGCAGGTTTAGGAGATTAAGGAAATGAATGAGATTTGGGAAAGGAAAGTGAAAGGAAGATGTGTTTTCATTGAGTGAAAATGTTCATTTTGTGTTTGGAGAATCTTTGTACTTCATCTCCAGGAAAGATTTGAAGCACTTTTCACAGTCTACGATAATCAAGTTACATTCCAGTTGTTTAAAAGCTTTAGAAGAGTAAGGATAAACTTCAGTAATCCAGAGGCAGCAGCAAGAGCACGGATAGAACTGCATGAAACTGACTTCAACGGCAAAAAGCTGAAGCTGTACTTTGCACAGGTATTATGGAACACTAAGATGTTGTACGTGTGTCCCTGTTTCTTCTTTATTCCACATTTGCCTGTGAGTTTCATTTGTGATAAATATCTGAAGTTACCTTCAACCTCATTCCTCTACGCTGAGATGTATTACTTTCACTCATTGAGAAATTCATGCTTCAGGGTACAGTTTTGCTTTTCAGCTTGAGCTTACAGCGTTGTAATTAGTTGCTGCGTGGTGACACAAACCATCTTCCCCCATACATAAACAGAAATGTGCTGAAAGAAAATATGTGGATCCAAAGGTCTCTTTATAATAGGTGCTTTACAGACATATTCTTCTTGTTGGATTAGCAGCTTAGTATGTGTCATATACAGCTACATTGTCAACGCTTACATAGGCCAGTTTCTTAACTGCAGCATTTCTCCGAGGTGTCGTACCAAGAGCACTGACAAAAGCTGTACTACTTTTATTTTTAAAGCTAGGCTAAAGTAAGCATTGCTAACACACAGCATGGACATACATTATCGGGGAAGGAGACTAAATAAAAAGAGAATTAATATTTGTCATCTTATTCTGTATCTCCTGGCTTTTGTCTGCAGGTGCAGGTATCCAGTGAAATAGGTGACAAGTCCTACCTCCTTCCTCCACAACCTGTTAAACAGTTCCTGATATCACCACCTGCATCTCCACCAGTTGGATGGAAACAGAGTGAAGATGCAACTCCCCTGATAAACTATGACTTGCTTTGTGCTGTCTCCAAGTTGGGACCAGGTAGGAATATTTACCTGCTTTTGTTGTGTTACTTAACTTCAAAAATAGTTAACGAGGGAATTTATCTACTTACCTTTCTTTCTGTGTGAAGAAACAGAGTCTCTCTTATGTGATGTTTCTTACTTGAATAAAATGATCCATCACTTTTTTTACTTAATCCGTTAATTGAAAGTATAGCACAGAACTGGACTGTGTGGTACTAGCTCCCTCACATCCATTTATTGAATTTTGTTATAGTGTCAATATTAAGTAACAAACAAGAGGAATGAGAAGTTCAGTCTCTGGCAGATGGACAGCTCCAGTTATTAAGGATGCTAATATGTACTTCTTGTGTTTAATCATCAGACTTCTTTATGAGCCTTCCTAGGAAACATGCTGTTTGCTTTCTGTGAAAAGCAGGGAATCAGGAGGCTTAATGTTTTCAAATGCTTTTGTAGCTTTTCATTTACAAATGTCATGTAAATGTACAGCATAAATGGTGCCACTTAAAAATTTTTATGCTGCTGTTAAAGGATTTTCAGTCATGGGTTTCTCTAGGTTTGCTTTATTAACAATGCAGAGTGGGGCCACCACCGCAGTGAATGGCAAACTTCGAAAAATTTCTCAGTCTTATATACCTTTTACCACCCATTATCCCAGCCCAAAGTCTTTGTAATTTTCCAGTTGATCTCGGTTCCTATGTCATTATCATTCACCAATTTATCTCGTTAATTCTTGTGTCCCGGTTCTTCTGAAGTTAGTGGTCGTAGGCAAAAGGTCTTGGGTCACCACAATCACTTATCTTCTTACACATCAAAGATCACCTTTGAATTTCTGAAAATCACTGAGGCTATTCTATTAATTTATCTTGTTCTAAAGTTAATAACTTACTCCCATGTCTCAGGTCTAAGATGTATGATTACATTCTTCTTCTGTTGATACAGCTTGACTGGGTTTTTAGCCAGCCATGGTGGGGGCTACACATAGGACAAATAAGCAGCTTACGCATATTGTTTTCTAAGCACCTGCATTCTATTAATCACATCTAAAGCAATCTCTAATCATTAGTTATATGTCTGATATGAATAGTCTTAGAAACAATGAGGCCTAAGGCCTAGTTCCCTTTACAATTCCCTCCTTTTGTTTTTCATCGCATTCCTGTAATCCTATTGATAACTCCACATTTCTCTTTCTATCTTCTGTATTAGCCTAGAGCTACAACTTACACAGCATTGGAACAAAACAATCACACATACTACTGTGATTATAACAACAAAGACTGTTACAATTAGTTATTTCACCTAAGTAGTCAAATTGGGAAACCAAGATGTTAACCAAGAGAATGTGTCAGAAAATCCCCAGGATGTGTCACCTCTTTGAATTTGTTGCATTGTGGCACTAACCTCCCAAATTTTCTGGACATCTGTTATTAATTCTCCCGATCGATCAGTATACATACAGCAACTGTATTTAGGACAGTACGAACTCCACCTTGTGAAGCCAGAATCATGTCTAAAGCCATTCAGTTTTGGATAGTCATTTTTGAAAGTTCAGTTACCTCTTTCTGGAGAGTGAAAAGTCCATGAGCAGTTGAATTTGCTAATTTTTCAATTTCTCCAGAGACATTTAAGACTGCTTTTTCCAATTTGCTTACTTCTAAAGCTGGAATTAACCACCTAACAAATGAATGGAATCCTGTTGGTCTTTCAGTGAAAGGATTTAGAGTTTCTTGGGTTTGAATTAGAAAGGTTCTATGCCATGTTGCACTTGAGACAGCTTTTGGGTGAATTTCCAAATCTGTAGACATTACTCCTAGGGTACAAATACCTCCCCAGTCTGGAGGCAAAGCTTTATAAGCTTTGCTCCTACATAACCAAAAAATGCCTAAGTCCTCAGGTGCTCGCCAGCTTAAACGCAATCCTGAGTTGATAGAAGTTGTGTTTTGACATTGAGTCCAATTTCCTACAAATGAATGATTTTTGCATAAATGTTGATTATCAACACTTGGGGGATAACATCTTTGTACACAGTGGACTTGTGAATAATCTCCTGAATTTGATAGTCTAATTTCCCAAATTTGTTCTTCATAAGATTCGGAAAAAGTAGTATTAAACCAGTATTTTTTCTAATTTGCACTTTTAGGAATCGGTATTCCTACTAAGTGAAATCCTTGATTCACTGTCTTTGGTAGAGCAACACAAATCCAACATTCACTTAAATTTAGATTATTAGTAAAAGATTTCATCAATGACACATGCATATTGTTGGTCCAGGCAGTTTCTACTTGGTTAACATCCCTAGGTTTCCATACAAATTGTTTTAACACATTCAGAGATGACATGTTGTAATAAGAATGAGGATAATTCATGTGACGGTGCCAAAAATTCCGCTCAAGATTAGGTCTCCATTTGATTATTACAATCCTAAATTTGAAAGTAAAACAATTGCTTGATAGGTAGAATTGATGACAGCACCAGTTTCCCTTACCATAAATTCTCCACATTTGATGGTCAAAGCACCATATTGCAATTCCCCATGTTGGTTCTTGAACATGAATATGATATACAGGATAAGTTCTCGGAATGCCATATCCCCACCACTGTTTAGAAAAGCCATGACTGTTCGACCAAGTATCCCACGGATCGTCAAATCTACTTCTAACGTTTGCACAGAATTCGAGAGAATTAAGAAGTGGATAAATAGGGTCTCTCTGTCTGGTCTTTGGGTAACTAGCCAAAAAAAATGACCTGTGCAGGCTTTGCGCATAGGTGTGTAATTTGGCCCGAAAGCTGAGAAGAACAATCACTGTATGTATTAACAGTTCTATTGGTATGGGCATCTCGATAGCGCAATGCAAATTTTGTCCACAAGATGTCACTCCAGGGTAGAATACAAACAAGTACAAAAAGGAATAATACTTTACAATTGTCTATTATTCTTCAGATTCTTTGCGGGCATGTGAATGATGGATCCAAGTTTCTTTCCCAGATACCTTCATGGCATAAAAAGAAGTTAGCAGTATAAGGTCCTTCCCATTTTGGTTCAAATCTGGTTTTTCTTTTGAAATTCTTTATATAAACTTTGTCCCCTGGCTGTGTATCATGAACTTGGATTTCAGGGCTTATTCCCTGATACCAATAGGGATGGTTACACATTTGGAAAAAATAATTTTGCAGATACAAAAGGTATTGTGTTACCTGTTCATGTCCATCCAAGAGGCTAGTCTTTGCTGGCACATATGTACCTGGAACAGCAAGTATTCTCCCAAAAAGGATCTCAGCTGGAGAAACTCCAATTGGTTGCCTTGGAGTATTCCTAATATCCCACAAACCCAAATTTAAGGCCTCAGGCCATTTCAAACCAGTCTGTTTACGAACCTTTACTAACTTCTCCTTCAATGTCATATTCATTCATTCTACTTAACCAGATGATTCGGGATGATCTGGAGTATGAAATTTATTAAAAATCCCTAAAGAATTATAAATCTATATCAGGATAGCAGCTGTGAATTGACTCCCTCGATCTGAATTGATTACTTCAGGAACCCCATACCTTGGAATGATTTCTTTCAATAAGGCTTTTACTACTGCCTTGGAATCATTTTTCCTAGTTGGGAAAGCTTCCACCCATCCTGATAGTTGATCAACATCACTAATATGTAAGAGTACCCCATTGTTTTTGGCATGTCTGCATAATCAATTTGGAGTTTTTTGAAAAGGAAAGGTGGCTGGAGGTCTTTTCCCACCGGGAGGTTTAATTCGCGCTGAAGCATATTGTCTGCAAAGCTTACATCCTTCACAAATTCTTTTTGCTGCTGCATAAATTCCGGGGGCTGCCCAGAGTCTCTGGATTCGGAGCGCTAGGCTCTATGGTCTCCCATGGGTCCTCTCATGGTGCCACCACATTATCGGTAATAAATACCTTTTTGGAAGGAGAGGTTTGTTATTCAGAATCCACTGCCCTTCTCGCCGGTGGGCTCCCAGCCGAGTCTATTGTTGTCTTTCTTCTTCAGAGAGGTCTTTATACAGCTTATTCATGTCTGGGAGCTCAAATGTTATTTCATGTTGTAACAGAGACGTAACGGATATGACCTGTCGTGCTGCTGCTCTACCGGCTTGGTCAGCTAGAGAATTTCCCTTCGCGATCATGTCTTGTCTCTGTGTATGTGCCTTTATAGCTCACAGATATTTCAGAGAGCAATTGGATTGCCTCTAAGAGGTCTTTGATCTGTTGTCCATGGGCAACAGTTTTTCCCACCGAAGTCAGAAAAACCCTTTCTTTCCATAAAGTCCCCGTAGCATGACATACACCAAAGGCATATTTAGAGTCTGTATAAATGTTAAATCTTACTCCAATCGCATATTTAGCAGCTTCAGTTAGAGTAACTATTTCTGCTCCTTGTGCACCTAAAGGTGCAGGCAAAGATCTGGCCAACAGTACCTGTGTTTCTGTGTTGACTGCGAAACCGGTATATCTTCAACCTTTTTCATAGTAAGATGAGCCATCCATGAAGAGGTTTAAATCAGGGTTATCTAAAGGTTGATCTCTCAGGTCATCTCGCAGCTTGCTGGTTTCACTTACGAGATAAACACAATTGTGGTTATCTTTTTCTCCATCAAAGGGTAAAGGCATTAAAGTCGCAGGGTTTAAAGTATTGCACCTTTCCAGTTTCAAATTATCAGTCAATAAAAGAATTATTTCACATCTGTGTGCCCATTGTGGAGACAAAGCTTTCTCCACATATTGCTTTAACAAAATTTCTACCTCATGGGGTACACAAACAGTTAGTGGATGACCTAAAACAATTGTTCTGGTTTTCTCAACCATTTCAGCTGCAGCTGCTATTGCTCTGATACAAAAAGGAGTTCCTTTAGTCACTGGATCCAATGTAGAAGAAAAATAAGCAACAGGTCTCTCATGCGGTCCTAAAGTTTGTACTAACACTCCCTTTGCAACCCCTTTTGCTTCATCACAATATAATTTAAAAGGTTTTGAATAATCAGGAAGCCCTAACGCTGGGGCAGATAAGAGTGCAGCCTTTAAAGTATGAAAGGCTTTCTCCCTCTCAGTGCCCCAAGCAATTGGTTCCATTTCCTCATTTCAAGTTGCTTCATGCAGAGGTTTAGCTATTTCACTGAATCCCGAGATCCAAGGACAGCAAAATCCTACCTGTCCTAAAAATCCTCTCAACTGTTTTTTTTGTCACTGGTCTAGGTATTTCTTGAATTGCTTGAACTCTTTCAGGGTCTACTTCACACCTTCTGGGCTTTAATATAAATACCAAATATTTTACTTGCTGTTTGCAAAAATGCAATTTAGATGGAGATGCACAGTGTCCCTTTTTAACAAGTTGGATACACAGATATTCAGTATCTCGAATACAATCATTCTCAGTTTTACTTGCCAATAATAAATCATCAACATATTGCACCAAGATTGATTCACAAGATATAGTTTTTTCCAAATAAATCTTTCTTCAAAATCTGAGAAAAAATTGTTGGTGAGCTGGTAAAATCTTGTGGCAGCCTGGTCCAAGTAAGTTGTTTCCCTTGCCAAATAAAGGCAAAAATTGGCTGGCTTTCTTCAGCAATTGGAATATTAAAGAAAGCTCCGGTAAGGTTAAGCACTGTAAAATACTGTGCCCAGACTGGAATCTGGGTTAAAATCAAACTAGGATCTGGCACCACAGGGTGTGGAGCAATTACATGCTTATTCACTGCTTGTAAATCTTGAACACGTCTGTATTCAGGATCTCCATCCTTATCTGTCCTATGTCTACTCACTGGCAAAATTGGGGTATTATAGGGACTATGGCATTCTTTCAAAATCCCCTTTTCTAAAAAATGGCTTCATTTATAATTGGATATTGCTGAACTGAGGGAGGAGTCCCTCCTTTGTTTTTATCACAACTGGTTCAGCAGATTTTAATAATACTACTTCATCTCCTGATGTACTCCGGAGTTCTCTGGGAACTCCAGCTAATTCGGGTGGTATTTTTAAATCACTATGGTTTTGTTCTTTAAGTTGGATTACTTCAGAACCCATTACAATTAATCGGATCCCTGTAGGCACCAAAGAGATAAATGTGCCAAATTCCTGCAAGAGGTCTTGTCCCAGCAGAGAAACAGGAGAGTCTGGAGAAATTACAAATCTTCCCCAGACTGATTTTTCATTCAAAATTACTGGTAGAGGAGTAGACAAATATTTTATCTCTTCCCCCACCACCCCCCGTATTATCACAGCTTCATTTGACATCTGAGGGATTTCAAAATTTAACAAAGACAACGTCGCTCCCGTATCTACTAGGAAAGTAACAAGAATACTGTTTACCTTTGCAGAAATCTGACCGCGCTCATCTACCTTGATTCCAACAGGTTCCATTGCTCTTTTAGTTTCCAGAGAAGAGGAGTACCGTTCTTTACTGCGAATGAGGTCATGGGGGTCGGGCAGGTGGAAGTCTTCCTCAGGTTGCAACAGGTCTCAGTGGACACTGTCTTTGCATATGTCCTAAATTTCTACAATAAAAACACTCTAAAGAGTTAGCATGTTGGGAAGCAGAGGGAACTCTGTTTTGCCCCCCCTCTTCCCCTAAATCTCCCCCGAGAAAATCCCTGACCTCTTATTCGTGGGTTAAAATTCTGAGTAATTGCTGCAGCTAACAGCCTAATTTCTCTCTCCTTCTCTTTCCGCTCTTGCTTTCTTTCAATTTTTAATTTCTCTTCTTCCTGTTTTTGTCTTTCTTCAGGTCTTCCCTCAAAAACAAAGGCAGCAATACTTAGAATTTTAGCTAATGTCTCACCCTGCCAACATGGCATATGTTTCTTAAAATATTTACTTATGTCTGGAGCAGATTGATGTACAAAAACACTGATAGCTAAAGGCTCCTGGAAATTGTCACGGGTCATGCCCCCATATTTCAATAAAGTTGCCTTCAGTCGTCCCCAGTAATCACTCGGATGTTCATCAGGTCTCTGCCTACATTCTAAAACCTTTGTCCAATTAGTTACTCTCTCACCAGCTTGGCGAACTGCTTCTATTAACTGTTGAATGGCAGCTCGGTGAGCACTAGTTCCTTCTGTGGTTGCGAGATTCCGTTCTGGATCTTGTTCAGGCCATGGGTTTAACCCCTGACCTTTCTGAGCAATTTCTCTATCCTTTTGAAAAATCTTTTCTCTTTCCTCTGCCTGAAATAATTCTCGCAGCAGCGTCCTCATATCATTCCAACTAGGGGTATAATCAGTGACAATTCTTGATAACAATTGAGCACATTTTTCAGCGTCATCATGCAGCCGAGGCATCTTCAACTGCCAAGCTACTAAATCACCTTGTTTTCAAGGTTCATGCCTCATTACTGCAGTTACCACAGGAACTTCAGCAGGTGCACCCAGTCCTGCTCTTGGGTTTGGGATGTAATCCGAATGCTTTGGGTACATGTCAGCACCCTTTGAGAAAAGCTCAGTTTTCTCAGCCTCAGGGGCCAAGGGAAGTAAACTTTTCTCATTTTCAACAGGGAATTTTCCTCCTTTGTTGTGCCCAGTTATACCAAATATACCAATAATCAAGATCTTGACTTCCAGAGTCTTCCAAAATCATTCTCAAAAACTTCTGCTTATGGGGTTTAAATGTTCCCTTAGGAGGCCACTCATCCATTGGCCCTCCTCCTCTATTTCTCGTCAGGAATGGCCATTCCTCTTGGCACAATATTATCAATTTCCTTTTTTGCAATACCTGTGCCAAGGGTATCTTTTTTCCAGTTTTCTAAAACCTCAGCAAGGGGCGTCCCTCTTTCAACGCTGGGTGCTGACCCCATCTTTCTTAATATTTTTTTTGCAAATTTGAACACAAGAGTTTCCCAGGATGATTTTATCTGGAATTACCCATGCCCAAGTCTCTTAGGTGAACTCACCTGATTATTTCTGCCGGCAATTGAGTGTTGGTAACGGGTTTGTCCAGAGAAATATCCAGTTGCTCTCTTTCTCTCTTGTGTCCTAGAGTCCCATGTGGGGTGCCAATTCTGTTAAAGGATTTTCAGTCATGGGTTTCTCTAGGTTTGCTTTATTAACAATGCAGAGTGGGGCCACCACCGCAGTGAATGGCAAACTTCGAAAAATTTCTCAGTCTTATATACCTTTTACCACCCACTGTCCCAGTCCAAAGTCTTTGTAATTTTCCAGTTGATCTCGGTTCCTATGTCATTATCATTCACCAATTTATCTCGTTAATTCTTGTGTCCCGGTTCTTCTGAAGTTAGTGGTCGTAGGCAAAAGGTCTTGGGTCACCACAATCACTTATCTTCTTACACATCAAAGATCACCTTTGAATTTCTGAAAATCACTGAGGCTATTCTATTAATTTATCTTGTTCTAAAGTTAATAACTTACTCCCATGTCTCAGGTCTAAGATGTATGATTACATTCTTCTTCTGTTGATACAGCTTGACTGGGTTTTTAGCCAGCCATGGTGGGGGCTACACATAGGACAAATAAGCAGCTTACGCATATTGTTTTCTAAGCACCTGCATTCTGTTAATCACATCTAAAGCAATCTCTAATCATTAGTTATATGTCTGATAAGAATAGTCTTAGAAACGAGTCTTAGGAACTAGGCTTAAGGCCTAGTTCTCTTTACAGCTGCTTGTATTCTGATGTCTTCAGTGTTTCATGATAGTTTTTTACATCCCTCCGTCCCTTCCTTTAAATATGAATTAAAAGATTGGTTTTATTCAAGGTACAGTGTAACAGATACAGGGACTATCTTAAAACATTTAACAGGTCTGGTGAAGCGTGGAAGTTGAGCAAATTAGAGATGAGATGGGAATAAATCAATATTTGGTTGTGTTACTGCAGATAGTAAGGAGTTTTTGAGATAAAGTGACTTAATGCTTTTCCTTGGGGGTGTTCTTAGCATGATTTTTGTTTGCTGCTCTTCAGGGGAAAAGTACGAGCTTCATGCAGGAACAGAATCAACTCCTAGTGTAGTCGTCCATGTCTGTGAAAGTGAGACAGAAGAGGAAGATGAAATAAAAAATCCCAAACAGAAGATCATGCAGACAAGGCGCCCAGAACCACCTGCAACAATCCTCAATGAATCTAAAGCATTTGATTGTACACTGGCAGTAGGGGGTACTATGCACTGTTAAATTGTGTGGTGCTCAAGATAGTATCAAGAATCAGACACTTAACTGAGTACATGTGTTGATGTCTGTACTGCTGCTATATGTTATGTATAGCGACAACAGATTTTACTTGTAGTTGTCTCTCATGTTCAAGATTTTGGATGCCAATGCTCTGAAAAGCACTTTAATTTTAGGGCCTAGTCCCCCAAGTGTAGCAAATCCACCTGACTTGAAATAGTGAAAAATAGGAAGTCTGGTTGTGGTGTTTTTGGTTGGTTTTTGGTTTGTTTTTTTGTTTTTTTAAGATGTTGCCCTTTTCTTTATATTGTACAGTGTGATGTACCAAGTGCTGAAATAATATCTTACTGTCATGATTGGATTCAAGAAAGTTCATTGTATAGCAATTAAAAGCTGATCTGTACTGGTACAACAGCTTCCAGTTAATATAGTGTTAAATGCAAGTGAAACGTACTCTTTTTATGCTAAAATTCCTTCCCAGCTAGTAATCTCCTGGGGTGAAGATTAGTCTTTGCTTTTCTCAGAAATGCCAACTATGTATTTTTAATTTGACATGAGGCACAAATACACGTATGGAACTAAATTCAAGTAGTTTTGCTAACTACACAGAGAAGAATACAGGAGGAAGAACCACAGACCACGGAGAAGACAGACTCCGAGTCTGTCACCAACACTGCTGCTGCTACTATCTGTGATGGTACACTGACAGGTACAATGGTTTGCACTGACGTCTAATTAGGAGTGAATTACAATCTGTAGAGTGAAATACGGATTCAGCTATTGAATGTGCTGTCTCTGATCCTCTTTGAAAATGTGGTAACATTTGTTCCTCTGCAGTCCTAGAGATGGCCTCCATTTACAAATAAATTCAGTGACTGTTACGTTATAACTAAGTTATGTTAGGAGATAAAGCATCTAGGGTTAATTTTTAACTTGTGCTCCTAAACTTCTCCAGTCTGTTTCATATTTTTTTAAGACAATCAGTTGCCTGGCTTAGCCAGTTTTTATGCAGTCTCAGCCCTTGTTTGCTGTTTTTCATTCAGACTTTTTCTGTGTGGCATCCTGTCTGTCTGATAGAGCATCTGCTACTTTTGAGACCAGGATGCCTCTTTTAAAATAGAGATTTTTAATTTTGTGATCTTGTGTTAAGTGTGTTTTAGTAAGAGGAAAATAGGCCTCGGTATAATGACACATGCTCCTATGCTTTTATGCTATTTTATAACCAACCTTTTTTAGTCTAGACAGATTCTTCTTTTTTCTATTTAAAAGAATAAAATTATTTGTGAACAAACCAGGCCACTGATGTTCATACATAGAAGTCATTCAGAAATTGGCCTTTTTCAAATTCATTTTTGTGTGTTTCAATTCTCCATGATGTGCTTATTGAATTTTCAAAAGTGTTTTCACTTGATTGATGGCAGAGAGAAAAAGTAATGATCATGAATTTGCATGGGCATGGTAGTTTTCAACTCCGTATTGTGCCAGCTCGTGATGCCTTCCTGCCACCAGCTTCAAGTTGCAAAATGGGATCCTGCAGGCAGGTCCTTGTTCCAGAGGCAGGAGTAGTGTATATTAAAAAGGTAGAACGATGGGTTTTGTTCATCTTGCCTCCACAGGCATGATATTTCTGTATCTCTTCAGGTATTAAAATCACTCAAAAGTCTTGACTTCTCTGTCTCACTGTTCCATGTTATTTAAATAAAAAAAAAAAAAAACCACCAAAACCCCCCCCTTTGTGTTGTCCATCAGGCTTGTGTATTTTTAAAATTCCAGAAGTCCATTTTGGATTTTCTGTGGTGTTTATATTTTGTTAATTGTTTAATTTCTACCCCATTGTAGAAGTTGCTGTGAGTAGGAATAAGTGGAAGACCTTCAGAAACAGTTTTATAAGGCAAATGAAGCAAGTAATGTTGTCAATGTATCTTGTGTAAAATGTATAACAATTTGCATTCCAACATCTTCCATTGTGTAAAGACACTTAAAATAAAAACAATGCAGTGCCATTCACATGTGGTTTTTTAACTGTATTCCATATTGGCCCAAGTTTGATATGTACGTTTTCTAATGGTATCGTGTGCTTGTGCAATTGAGTGAACAGTTGAGAGAGTTTATGGGTTTCCATAAGCAAATTATCAGAAAAATAGTGCTGAAGAAGTTAGGAATTTCAGCAGAACAACCCTGGGAATTGCTGGGCTGAAGGAGGGACTGAGAAGGTTTTTATGGTGTTTTGGGTGCCTGTACAGCAGAGTCCCATTTAGATGTTTACCTCACCGGAATTTTGAATGGGAGTTTGACACCAGCTTAGAGAATGTCCGGTTTGGATTGCAGTATTGAGCTCTGTAAAGTTTTTGTTGTAATAAAGCTAAATAATTACTTGTTTTCAAAAATCTCCAAAGACCCATTTCCACAGGAAGGAAATGGTCAGACTTTATATAAAATGTGCATGCATTGATCAACAAAATTGTAAAACACCAGCTTGTTGGCACTGCATGTGCTTTTGCCACCAGGTTCTCCTCTCTTTCACAGATCAGGCAAATTTCAGCAGTGTTTTTTACGTTAGCCAATAGAGGGAGGCTATGTGCCCTTCTCCTAACACACATTGGCGTGATATAATTGAATTATATTAAAAATGCTACAAAATCACATTCCTTTACAGTATGCGACGCCGTGCCTCCTTTCTGTGACAGTGCCATGGGGCCCCATTGTGCAAATATAATGGGAGACTTTGTCTAGCACATCGTCTGCCTCAGAGTTGGTGTGGAAGGCAGGGGTTCACGGGAGCTGGAGGGAATTAGGTGGCTGGCTCCTTGTAAGTACTGATGTGGGTGGGCAAGGAGGAGGCAAAGCAGAGGCTTTACAGAAAGGAACTTGAAATTAGCCATCGATCACTATCAGAAGTGATTCTACTCCATTTTTACTCTGTCCATCCATCTCCAGAGTGACAGAGCCTTCCTTGTAAAATGAATGAAATTCACGTTTGCTTTATTTACTCCATGCGATGAGGCAGTAATGACCATCAGAACCTGTTTCTCTTAATCACTGACCTGCTATTAACTGAGGTGCTGTTTTTAAAAGTAGGCTTGCACAGAGGCACGAACTCAGCCCTTTCTGAGCTTGCACTTTGTATAAATAAATATCCCAAATTCCTTTAAAGCATTCTTCTTGACAAACAGCTGAAAAAATGCGTGGTCTTTTCTTTGGACAGTCTGCCTGTGTATTTCAGAGAAAAAGTTGCTGGGGGTACTTTGGTTTTATTTTATAATAGCTAAGAACAGACCCTATTTTTGCAATCCTGTGATTACTGCATCTCATTCTATTTCTACCTTGCTACTGAACTGCTTCCCTCCAGAAAGACCTCATGCATAAAATGTCTCTTTATTTATTCCCTGAAAGGTTATATTTCCATTTTTGTCTGGTTTTGGATTACTGATTTTTTTTTTTTTTTTTTTCCCCAGAACAGAAGACTGTTTTACGAATCTTGCACTTACTGGCTTTTGTTTACTTGCTCTGCTTAATGTGTAAAACTTGCTAGGAGGGGTTCATGGTCCAGTGTGCTTTTAATGTGGAAAGAGACCACAGCCAAGCCTTGTTCCCTTGCTTTATTAAACCAAACAGGAGGCACACACCTGGCTAGATCTGTGAGTCTTTGTTCCTGTGTGGGCTTACTCGGCACCTGCAATACATCATTCTGTGACTGCTCCGTTCTGCACGCGTGAAGGTCAGCCTGAGGTGCGGAGAGCCTTTGACAGAAGCTGAAGTCAGCGGGAGGGAACTGCGGTCCTTCGCACTTCAGAGGAATGTGTGCTTAAGCAGCTGTTTACCTTTGTTCTGAGCAAGGTAAAATACTTTTTCTCCTATAGCTAGTGACTGAGCTGAAATCTGAGCAAGTGTGACTACAGGGTTGTGTCCTAACATCAGTCATAGAGCTTGAGGAAGGCTTGCACAATGTGTGTTTGAACGTCTCCATGCCCTTCACCTAAAGATCAGGATTAGAGACGTGTCGGTATAGTGGTACCCACCTTAACGGAGAGACAGGTGGTATCTTGTGCTTTGGCTCTTTATGTATTTTATCTTGAAATTGTATTTGTGCTCAGTCACACTAGAAAACACACAGCATTTTAAATGTTAATTAATGTGTTAAAATCCTCTTCTGAGCAAGGTCTCTTGCATTTTAACATGTTGGCATATTCAGGCTTGTAGAAAGGAATGTTTGATTTCTTTGGTGAAGGAAACGTATTCCAGCTATAGTATCAGCAGAAACCCAGATGTCAGCAGTACTAGGGTGAGGCAGTGGGAAAGATACTTATGGCAATTTGTTCTTTTGTGGTGTTACATAAAATAAAAAAATTACAAATTCTGTGTCCTTTCTGGCTCTATAGCCAATGAGCATGTTCCTGTTTCAGTGACATGGCACAGCAAGCAGGGGTTAGGGAGGGCAACCTGGCTTAGATGCGCTCTTCTGCTGGGGCAGGTCACTTCATCTCAACATTTCAGTTCTGTCCCTTGCAGGTATAGTTTGTAATTTTTTTTTTTTTGTGCCTGTGGGTACATGTACAGTACCGCAGTCCTGATTTCCTCATACAATTCTAGACTCAATAATAATGAATTCCTAGTTGGTTGTGGTATCTGTTGTAATATGTCTGTTCTCTTTTTTTCTTAGTAAGATGGTTCCAGTATATTCGCTCTGCTCTCTACCCTTCTAATTGCAGCCAAACTGCAAATTTAATCGGTGGTGCTGTGAACTGACTTCACGATCCAGGAGGAGTACAAAACCTACTTGGAAGTGTAAGCTGGATGTATAAATTCAGTGAGACTTAGCGCATTATTAGGTTATGTCACTTCCTTATGTTTTTGGTAAAGCTGCAAAGTGGGCCTGAAGTTTCTAATTGAGAGTTATGTTATGTCTTTTGGCATTCATTGACTTCATTAGGATTGTTCTGGAACATCCCAGTATCTTGTTTGGTCCTCCACTAACACTGATAATGGGATAAGATCAGGATTGGTGGCTGGTGACCTCTAAACTGAACAACATGTTGAAAGCAGAGCTTTATACATAACAACGTATAAACCTAGTGTATGGCTATAGCTAATAGTATAAGGGCTATAAATTTAGGACCTGGTGAAGGACTTCCCAAGCAAACACTTGGGAAAGTCACACCCTCCCTTTCTTTTGCCACATAGGCTTTTAGAGAATACATTTACTTTTATTGAGCTTTTACTTGGCTTCATTGTAGA